AAAGGCAAACATTCAACCTCTGAGCCACCCAGACATCCCTACAGTTAAGTTTTTAATCTTCCTAGAATTTATTTTATGTTAGTGTAAAGTGGGGGATCTTTTAGATTTTTTGCCTAGATAGATGATGGCTATTTTAATTTCTTTGTTTTGCCAAAACCTATAAGGCAATGTAAAGAATATTGAGGCTGGTAGCTATCCTATTTTTTGTTGAAATGGTTTTTGTGATTTGCCATTGCATATTGCTTGCTAGGCTTTGTTAGTCTTAAGGATATTTAAATAGTTTATTTCTATTCTTATTTCTCTAATAGAATTTATCAGGAATAGCTGCTGAATTCCAACAAATAAGTTTTTAGCATTTATTGAAATACTTATATTTTTCTCCTTTATTGATGCAATAGATTATATAATAGATTATGTCGTAATGAACCATTCTTGTATTTCTGAAATAAATCCTGTTTGGTCATAATGAATTATTCTTTTGCTACATGGATTTTGTTTACTAATATTTTATTTTGAGTTTTTGAATTTATATTCCTAAGTGAGATTGTTCTGTACTTTTCTTTATGGTGTTACACTACATTTTCCCAGTTTTGGTATCAAAGTTTGCTGTTTTTATACAATGAATTTGGAGACTTTCATCTGGAGTACTAAACAATCTTGCAATTTTCTCTTCTTTTAAAGTCAGATAAACTTAGCTGGGAAGCCATCCATATGGTTTGGTAGCTTTTTTTGATAGAAGATTTTTTTAATCACCTTTTCAATTTCTTCTCTGATTATTCTGTTCACATTTTCTACTTCCCTTGGGGGTCAATTTTATTTGCTGGGTTTTTTTAAAATCAGGAAATCATTCATTTCCTCTAAATTTTCAAATTGCTAACATAGAATTGCAAGAAGTAATCTCTCCTATATGTGGGCATATGAATTATTTCTCATTTCTCACTTTGCCTCTTCTGCTCGTTGTAGTGTATGTGAGGGGGGTGATGTATCACTGATCTTGTTCAAAGAACTAGCTTTTAGATTTAAGATACTTAGTTCCTTTAATGTAAATTTTTTTCTCTAATGATGGTTGAGTCTGTGGTTAAGCTTTTGTTATTTTCATTTTTATAAACAAATTAAGTTTTATAAATTTATTTACATAATTTTATATCCTTACATGATATTTTTCATCTTGTTGGTGCTTTCAACTTAATTTCACTTGTCCTATATTAATATCACCAACTCTAATTTCTTTATCTTTGTATACCCTTTGATACCTTGTGTTGGCATGTTCTTTGTAACCACCATACAGCTGAATTTTGCTTTTTAAACCAAATCTGACAGTTTCTGTTTTTTAATGGGTACGCCCAGTTTATCACATCCAATGTTCTTATCTTACTCTCTATTAATCAATTTATTTTTCTTAAGATTTATGTATGTATGTATTTGAGAGAGAGAGAGAGAGAGAGACAACTAGCGAGAGAGCATGAGTGTGGGGCCCGGGGTGGAGGGCAGAGGCAGAGAGAGAAGCAGACTCCCTGCTGAGCAGGAAGCTGGACAATGCAGGCCTCAATCCCAGGGCCCCAGGATCATTACCTGCAAGGACGGCAGACACTTAACTGACTGAGCCACCCAGACGCCTCTCTATTAATCAATTTAATTTAGATTTTGGTTTCCTCTTTTTCTTTATTGATGTTAATAATAAATTCCTTGTTAATTTGGAGTGTCTTCTGTATTTTTTCCCCATTCCATTAATGGTTACTTCTTTTCCTCAGCCCTCTGTGTCAGAATGTATGTCTTTAGTATTATTTAAATAAGTCACCCCCTGAGATGCAGTATAGTCCCCACCATGATGTTGTAATCTAATCTAAACTAAGTTAAGATCTTTAGGATCTTTCTAGTCACTTTCTTTTTCCCACTGTTCTCTACTTCCCTATGATCATCTAGGACCACTCCTCCCCCTCCTCCACAGGCTTCACTAGCCAGAAGACCTATTGCCTCCTGGCCTCATTTAAAAAAATCTTCTCTATAAAAACTACTAATAAGCTTAACCTTACCTATGTTGTGGAATGGTTGGTGGCTAAAATGGGAGAGCTAGGAAAGCATCTTGTAGATTGTGAAATGGTGTAGAAACACCTGCGGGAGACTATTTGTAGGGAGGACTTGGCCTGTTTTGATCTCAATGGACAATCACGGACAAGGTGGAATTATAATCTCTATGCCTCTGTGGCTTCTGTGCTGTGAAGGAAAAGTGTTCCAGCTTCATTTACTAGGCACAAACTCACTGCTACTTGGGACTGACTTCTCTCAGCTACTGTCTTTTGTTATAGGATACATACATTTAATGGATGCATCTTTAAGGATGATATCCTAAACTATCAGAATCTATTAACATCTTAGAAAGCAGACTACGAGGTGGCTCTGTGGCGCAATGGATAGCGCATTAGAAAGCAGACTACGGGGTGGGGGGGCACCTGGGTGGCTTAGTCAGTTATGGGTTAGACATCTGTCTTGGGGTCAGGTCATGATCCCAGAGTCCTGGGATCGAGCTCCATATCGGGCTCCCTAGTCAATGGAGAGAGTGCTTCTCCCTCTCCCTCTGTCCCCACTCCGTGCTCTTTCTGTCAAATAAATAAATAAATAAATAAATAAATAAATAAATAAATAAATAAAATCTTGAAGAAAAAGAAAGCAGAGTACTTTGCAGGAAAGGGACTCTGAACTGGAGGGTTCTGATAGGATGGGCCAGTTTTGAAGCCTGGCAAACTGCCTGCAAAGAGTTCCAAGGAAGGTGTCTGAAAGGAAGAATTGCAGACAGAAAACTGAGGGATCAGGGAGTACTTGAAAGAAGAGAAGGTAAAAGAAGAAGAAGCAGTAGCCTCCAGCACATATTTGCTTGTTGACAGTGTTGTCTCCTGTCTGCATCGGCTCAGAAGTTCATGGCGTCATAGGGACTCAAGCCAGGACAGACACTCTACGAGCGCTGTCATACAGGAATATGAGAGCCACGTGTATGATATTAAAATGTTCTAGTAGCCACATTTTTAAAAGCTAAAAAGAAATATGAAATTAATAATGTATTTTATTTAACCTAATATATTTATAATATTATTATTTCAACATGCCACCAGTTTGAAATTATTAAGGAGATATTTTACATCTTGTTTTCCTACTAAGTCTTCAAAATCCAATGTATTTTGTACTTTATACATGTTGTCATTTGGACTGGCCACAGTTGAAGTGCTCAATAGCCACATGTAGCCAGTGGCTATCTTACTGGACAGCAATGCTCTGTAGTGATGTTGGTAAATTCAGTCCCAGGTTCTCCTATCCTTCACACTTGGTGGAAATCACCAGACAGCCATGGCATTCTTTTTTAATGAGTCCTGGTGTGGTCTCCCAATTCTTGTTACCAGAGCCTGGCCGATGGACCTTCTATTGAGGGTGGGCATCCTGACAGAAGGTAAGCCCCAAGAGATTGTCAGTTTTTAGAAGGCAGGGCTTTGGTCTGTTTTATCCACTGCTATATCCCAACACCAAGAGCAGTGCTTGGAACATAATGAGCACTAGGTATATACTTATTCATTGAATTATATCAGTTTGCCTTCCTAGCTATAAAGCTAGTAAACAGAGCTCATTTCTAGTAACCATTATTATCTGACAATCATTTTAAATTAAGCCAAACATTTTCAAAATTTATGAGTAGAAAGAGCGTTTTCAAAATTTATGAATTAAAAGAAAATCCTAAATGAGTTTTAAAAGTAAAAGGAGGATGCCTCAGTGGCTCAGCGGTTTAGCACTGCCCTCCTTCCAGGGCGTGCTCCTGGAGTCCCAGGATCCAGTCCCACGTTGGGCTCCCTGTATGCAGCCTGCTTCTCTCTCTGCCTGTGTCTCTGCCTCTCTCTCTCTCTCTGTCTCTCATGAATAAATAAATAAAATCTTTAAAAAATAAAAAAATAAAAGTAAAAGGAGCCACTCACTTTCTTGTTCCGCACTTTTAGTGTTACTACTGAATATGAATTTTAACCTTTAAAGATTTTCTAGTAGGCATTACACTACGGCAACAGAAAACAAACAAACAAACAAACTCATGACTATATATATTACTATGCCTATAGCCACATTTTTTTGCTAAATATATTACTGCAGTATTATATAATAAATCTAAATATTTTGCAACATTCTGTATAATTTCAGCCTGTTTCATAATTCCCCGAAGAAGGATAGGATCAGATGAGTAGGTGCATTCACAACAATCAGTCACAGCATTTCAGAGTGAAGTCATTGCCTTTTGGATTTTATTTTTTAAAGCCCTAATAGAACTTTAATAATTAAGATCATTATTACAATTATTATAATAGCTATTCTTTGTTGAATGCTTATTATATTTAAGAATGATGTTAAGGGTTTCGTGTACATTATTTCATTAAAGCCTTAAAGTAATACTAATAGTCACTTGCTTAAAGTCATTCAGTTAATACATGATAGAGCCAGGATAAAATCCTGGTCTGCCTGATTCTTGAGTCGGGAATCTTGTCTATTCAGTTAGTCCACCCTCTCCAGTTTTGTAGTGAAAATACTTACACCTCCACAAAATTATGGTATATTCAAGATCATACAGCTCATGAGCGGCAGAGTCAGAACTGAAGTCCACATCTCCTGTTCTCAGGGCCAGATTCTCTCCTTTATACAGTATAGTCTGTCCATAAGCAAAGCATGGACATGTAACTTATTCAAAACATATCTTTTAAATCACTGAAATGAAAATTGACCTTCATATGAAGAAAACCAGTGATTACTGATTTTTAGTCTATTTAGCCATTAACAGCAACATAATATGTTTAACAGCTAGGATGGGGATTGGGAAAGCGGGATCAAGACTCGAAGTGATCATTGATCCTGGTCCCAAGCTAAAAGAATGAAGTGAACCATTATCTGTGAAAGTGGTCAGTGATGAAGTGTTACTAGCAGAGGAACTCCACAGAAGACCCCAGATAACTTCGGTTGGAGCTAAGAAGCACGAGATGTGGTTGAAAGGGGAGAAAGCTGTCCTGGGTTCACAGAGTGGAAACAATCTCTGCAGATTCCTCCTGAGAGCTCTTCCCACACCTTCTACCTACACCTTTGAATCTCCACCACCTGGATGGGTAGGGGCTGGTGGCTACGGGAATGTCCTAGCTCCAGGTATTTTCAGGGCTGAACTGAGAATGGTCAGCTCTGGAAAGCAGCAGGGGCCTTGTCAATCTCCATAAACCCCAGGAGAATGTAGAACAATGGCCTTCTCAGTCCTGGCAGTCCTGGCGGCTCTCCTCAAGGCCACCTCCCTTCCATTTAAGTCCCTTTTTATTGAAGCCAGTTGAATGCTGTCTTATCCGCATTAAGGGGGCTTGGGCTGCTCCTGGCTACAATTAGATTTTTATGCCACCTGGGCATAGAAGCTCACTTCATTTCCAATGTCCCACCATTCCAGTAGAGTTTTTACTTTGAAGTTCACAATTAACGTTGGGTCAGCAAGTTATTAGATGAACGGGAGACAGCAACACTGGTACAAAACAGTAAAATACTAGCTGGGTTGCAGAGAGGCCAGTGCAAGAGACACAGTGACTGATCATCAACAGGGGGGTGGAGGTGGGGGGGAAAGTCTAACCAAAAGGTATAGAACTGAAATTGTTCCTATAACTCCCCTTGCTGGCCAAAATGAAGAGTGACACAAGAAAAAAAAAAAAAAAGATCTGCCTACTTCCTGCTCTGATACCTCTCCATGTAACTGCATATCCAAATACCTCAAGGTTAAAAAAAAAATAGTAAGAAAAAAATCCAGTGTGAAGGGACTAAAATCAATAGCTTTATTTGCTCTGTTTTTTTTTTATTTGCTCTGTTTTTGATGGATCAGCTATTCAAGTGGGAAATGCAATGAGGTCATTACTTTGATAAAGAAGAAAGTGTCCTCCAAGTATGAACACTGCATGCCATTCACTTACTTCATAAGAAGGAACAAAAGTTATGTGGGCAAGATTTATACCCATCGCACCAGGGAGTCTAGCGATGTCACAGCCATAACACCCAGCCAATCTCAGGGTAGTATATGAAACTGAATTGTGTTTGTTGAATCCAGCACTAATCATGAATCGCAAACACAGGAGTACCAGCAATTCAGTTACCTTACTGAAATGATATTTTTAATTCAGAAAGAAAATTTCTGCAACTTACACATATTACGAAATTAACCATTTAAAATTTTTTTTAATTTTTAAAAAACAAACACAAATAAAAAAAGAAATTAAACAGTGGCTCTACACCCAATTTACTTAATCTTAGGGAAAGGTGACATGGGGAAGATAGTCCACTAAATATGCGGGTTTCTCTCTCTTTTTTTAAGATTTTATTTATTTATTCATGAGACACAGAGAAAGAAGCAGAGACACAGGCAGAAAGAGAAGCAGGCTCCATGCGGACTCAATCCTGGGTCTCCAGGATCACGCCAACCGAAGGCAGATGCTCAATTGCTGAGCCACCTAGGTGGTGCAATATGCGGATTTCTGACAGCTATAACATTAAGAATGCTTTGGAACACATAAGCAGGTATAGGTATAAAAACTGATTGTCATTTGAAATTAAAGTAATAGTTCCCATGACCCAGAGTCTTTTCTCATGATAGCAGGTTTGTTCTTTCTTACTGTTTTGCCATCAGTAACAATCCCATCTCAGCTTCTGGTGATATCCATAAACAAATTCTGTATAATCCTGAGTCTGTCTCCCGGTGGTAAACTACTCCAGAAAATAAGTGTACTTGAAGGCCATTTTGAGATTTTATATTAACTCTCTGAAGTTCCCCCTGTGCTGCTACTTAGTACTTCTAAGTTCTTGAAATAATTTGCAAAATATTTTCTTTTTTTTTTTTTTTAGAGATATATTCATTTATTTGAGAGAGAGAGAGGAGGTCAGGGGGAAGGGGAAGAAGGAGAGGGAAAGAGTCTTAAGCACACTCTATGCTGAGCATAGAGCCCAACCATGACTTGATCCATGATCCTGAGATCATGACGTGAGCTGAAACCAAGAGTTGGACACTTACCTGACTGAGCCACCTCAGCACCCAGCAAAATGATATTCTAATGGCAATTATATTCGCTATTGATCTATAGTTAACTGTATATATTACAGATATCAATGATATTCATTGATGATGGTTGATCAGTTAGCTAATGCTGAGCAAAGTATTTTCAAATATCAGATCATTGCCATTAAAATGTTAAAAAAAAACTATCGCTGCCTTACCTTATTTATACTGTGTGGTTAATAATGATGTTCAACTCTTTTGATGACATTGGGCATTGAATCTTTAACGTATTATTTCTAAGGTGAGGACATCGATATAGTCTTTGATGGTCAGATCAAGCTGGAGCATTGTCTAACACCAAGGGACTTGGATTTAGATGTCATTTTCCAAAAGTGACATTGCCAAGTGGGAGGGCCTAATTGTAAAACTGAGACCAGGATAGTAAGGGCACACAATACAAGGAAAACACAACTCCTTGACCCTGCCCTTACCCATCACCTTCTGCTATCTTCACTTCTTTCCCTTTACAATTTAGGTCCTGTGGCCCATTACTGCAGCCACTTTTTTGCAAACAGCTTCATTATCCTCACTCCATCTACTTCTTCCATCACCACTGCCAGGCAAGAGAATGGTTCTGGATCAAAGCACCTACCTACTTCTCTGCTGAGATCTCCAGGCTACTGTGCTTGTGAGAAATCATACAACTGCACACACTGATTTCACCATAGTCCAATAGTGTCTAACCTGGACTGGTTCCTTCATACAGCCTGGTAGCCATTTGGTATTTCCCTAGGTGGTGGTTGTCTCTGCCTTCCTTCACAGAATTCAATTTCTCTTCACTTACCTCTAACCTTTGACATCAACATACAATCTTCCTTTCTACTCAACAGATAAGACAATGCTATTCAGTTAGGCACTTCTTCACTACCCTGGCCAGTGGTGCACCGGTAAATGCCTAATAACCCACTCTCTGGAGGCCTTGTGTGAGGAAGTTCTGATTTGTAGTTTTAGTCAGTTTCCATGACATAAATATTCCCCCTCTGGTTGAATTCAAGCTTAGAATGTATATTAGCCAGTTGTCAAAATTTCTGAAAATTTGACAACTGGCTTCTGTGAGCTAGTAGGAGCTGGCTCCAGCACACGCTGCATGAAACCCAGAAACTTGGGGTGCCTGGGTGGCTCAGTGATTGAGCTTCTGCCCTTGGCTCAGCTCACAATCCTGGGGTCCTGGGATCAAGTCCTGTATCGGGGAGGCTGTTTCTCCCTCTGCCTATGTCTCTGCCTCTCTCTGTGTCTCTCATGAATAACTAAAATCTTAAAGAAAAAAAAAAGGAACCCAGAAACTTAAATAGGTCCAAAATATCTTTTCCTCCTTCACCCTCTGTCATAAAGAGATGTCTCTCTTATTCTCCCGTCTAAAGTGAAAGACTCCTCCTGTCTTCTATAATTTTTTTTTAAGATTTTATTTCTTTATTCATGAGAGACACACAGAAAGAGAGAGAGGGAGAGATGTAGGCAGAGGGAGAAGCAGGCTCCCTTTGAAGAGCCTGATGCAGGACTTGATCCCAGGACCCCAAGATCATGACCTGAGCCAAGGGCAGATGCTCAACCACTGAGCCACCCAGGCGTCCCTATAAGTATTTTTTTTTCTATCTATTAAAATCCCTCTCTCTGGCATCTTCAACTCCCCCCTCTTTATTGGCTAATTCTTTTTTGTCTTTTTGTCATTTAATGACCCAATTCTCTCCACCCCTTTTTGTTTATGTTAAGAAAACTCCATTTGATTCCACATTTCTGTCCAGCTATGTCACAGACTCATTTCTTCAAAGAATTGTTTCCACTGTCTTATCTTCAGATCACTCAACTATTAACTGGAATCTGGGTTTCCACTGAAATCTCAAAGTTCCTTGTTACTGGATTCAACAGAGAATTCTCAGTCCTTATTCTACTGATTGGTTTTCAGCATTTGACACATTTGACCACTCCTTCCTCTACTTGACTTCTGGGACACAATGGTTCTCTGATTCCTTCTCCTTCCTCTTGGCTTTGGTCTCCTGTGCAGGCTTCTCCCTCCTGTCCTTTTCTTATTTTTGGTGCTTCTCATGATTTTAATCTGAGATCCCTTCTTATTTGACTTTCCCAGGACCTCATCTCCTCCCATGGCTTCCACTACCATCTCTAGGTTGATGATGACTTACTGGTCCATGGCTCCAAGCTAGTCCTTCTCCTGAGCTTTAGATTTGTACTACCCACCAGGCATATTCATTTGCATCTTTAGAGGCACCTCAAACTTAACATTTCTAAAATTGAAATCTCCCCATATCTCCTCCCCTTCTGTGCTCTCAGCTCAGTGAATGAGTCCAAGTTGCCCACACCAGAAATCTTGGAATAATCCTTGAATCCCCCTAATATCTCATTTCCATTAATCACTAAGTCCTGCTAATTGAACTTCCAAAACCTCTTCCATCTCTCTACCTCTTATCATCCACAGGGTTACCAGCCTGGTTCAGTCACATCTGTCTACCAAGATTATCTCTCCCAACTAGTCTCCCTGTCTCCAGGCTTGCCTCATACTAATCTTTCCCCATTCCGAAGTGATCTCTCAAAAACAAATCAGATCATGTCACTTGCCTCCTTAAAAACTTTTGATGGTTTTCCATTGTTTCTGGGACAGAGACCAAACTTGAATATGATCTATGAGTGCCTGTGTGGTCTGACCTCCATTTCTGAGCCTCTCCTTTCTTCCTACCTTGTTCCCATTGATCTAAATTTTTTTCAGGTCCTAAATATGCCATGTGCTATTTCATCTCTTTGAATACACTGTCTACTTTGTCAGGAATGCCATAATTTACTTCCTGCTGCTTCCCATCCCTCTTCCTCTGACTCTTACTCATTCTTACAAGTCACTTCCTGCATAAGTGCCACTGACCCAGTTCCCTTTACTTCTGCAACTGTTGCATTTAATCATTGCATATTTTTAAAAAGATTTTTTGTTTATTCATGAGAGAGACAGAGAGAGACAGAGACATAGGCAGGGGGAAAAGCAGGCTCCTTGCAAGGAGCCCGATGTGGGGCTCAATCCTAGGACCCAGGATCATGACCTGAACCAAAGGCAGACACTCAACCACTGAACCACCCAGGTATCCCTTAACCATTGCATTTAACACAATGATTGTTTTTGCTATCTTATCTCCTTCATTGGTACTATAATCTCTGTGAGGACATGAGCCATGTCTATGCTCTTCACCATCATATCCCCATTGATTTTAATCAAGGAACCCCATGTTCATTAGCATCACTCTACATCTCACCCACCCTCGGTCCCTGGCAACTGCTAATCTACTTTATTCACCTCCCTCAGCAAGTTAATGGTGAGAAATATTCAGCCTGGACCTACTATTAACTTTTAAAATAAGAATATTAAGTTAGTGATTCATAGCAAATTATTAAACCCTCTGTGTCTTATTTTCCTTAACTTTGAAAAGATGCCTATTCATTGAAGAACAAAGCCTATAAGATGACCTGCAGTGTTTCATAAACTGCCTATATATCACTTGGCTTCCTATGAAATTTTATATTGCTCAGTTTCTTATCTCTTGTTTTGGCGAATTCATAGAATTTTCTGTTACTCAAGTGTTGGTTTCTGTTGCTGGAAGCAAAGCTCCTATTATGCTTTGAAGAACCTCCCATTCTTCCATGGCTGGTTCTTCAGATCCCTGCCTTCTGCTTAATGTCTTCCTTGCTCTCTAAATAGGAATTTTTTCCACTCTGAGCTCAAGGAATTTGAGTCCCTGCAAGTTCACATTTTAAAACTTGTCTTACATGCAATGTTGTATTGCTCTCATTCAAATCCTATCTTTCAAATAAGACTTTCTTAGGTGTTTAGTTTTTGTTTTCAGAAATAGGTAATGAAAAATAATAGTGAAAAAATATAGATATAAAAAATAATAATAGATATAAAATAGATATAATAGATATAAAAAATAATAATTATTTTAAGGGAAAAATACATCTACCATCTCCAAGAACTCCATGGGTGCTTGTGAATTGTAACTGGAAAGGCTGATTAATCCATCTGTTCCTCAAGGATCATATTTAACATTAATTGAAGACTTATGACATACCAAGGACAATGCTAAAACCTTTATTTACATTACTTTATTTAAACTCAGGGCAACCCAACAAAGTAGGAAATATTGCTACCGCCTTTTTACAGATAAGGAAACTAAAACTGAGAGATTAAATGACTCATCCAAGGTTAGACAGCCAGTAACTGAAGACGAGGACCTTGATCGGTCTCTGACCAGAATCCATTATGTTTTTTCTGGGGGAAAAATTAATTGTAAAGTTAAAAGGTAGTTTAATCTCATGCTGTTTACCCTGAAAAATAGCGTTAAATTCTGATTGAAATGTTCACAGCAACCAATTTGAATATCTCTTTGATGATAAAAAAATATAAATACCTATGTTTAAATATACGCCCCTTGAGAAACACTTGTGCTTCCTGACCACCAATTTCATTGCTTCTCCATTCAGATTGTTCATATGACATCACAGGATAGAACTGAACTAAGGAGGTTCAATAATGAAAAAGACCAGTTATTAAGATGATTATGCCTCAGGACACCTGGGTGGCTCAGTGGTTGAGGGTCTATCTCCCACTCAGGTCTTGATCCCAGGGTCCTGGGATCGAGTCCTGCATGAGGTTCCCTGCGAGGAGACTGCTTCTCTCTCTGCTTATGTCTCTGCCTGTCTCTTATGAATAAATAAAGTCTTAAAAAAAAAGATGATTATCCCTCTAATTTCCTTCCAATACACAATGCTAGATGCACATTGCTAAATTGTGTCTTATTTTCATTTTTTATAATAATTTCAATTACTGGGATTTAGTGCCTGGCACGTAGTAGGCACTCACTAAATATCCTTTGAATGAATTGATGTGTTATCTCCTTTTTGGAACTCTATGGTATTTATTTCCTAAAGTCAGGACCTGCAAAAAAAGAAGTTTAAAATAGAAGAGTACTAAGGAACATTCAGTGTTGTTATCCTAGGAGTATGTACGTTCCATTTAGTCCTAAAATATATGCCACACTTGCTCCCTAACTGCTTCATTATGTTAGTTTTGTTTCCTTAAACAGATTTCAAGCAAGGACTGTCATTCAATTCTTATATAAGCCCCATGGAGCCTAGTGTAGTGCTGGTCTTATAGTAGACAATCTATCAAAATGTGTATCACATTCTCTTACAAATGGTAAAGGCTTAAAAATATTTCTTTTTTTTTTTTTTTTATTTTTATTTATTTATGATAGTCACAGAGAGAGTGAGAGAGGCAGAGACACAGGCAGAGGGAGAAGCAGGCTCCATGCACCGGGAGCCCGACGTGGGATTCGATCCCGGGTCTCCAGGATCGTGCCCTGGGCCAAAGGCAGGCGCCAAACCGCTGCGCCACCCAGGGATCCCAAAAATATTTCTTAATATGTTATGAAAATGATTTTCAAGTTGATATATTTTATCGGAACCACCAACAGCCTCTTCCTAATTTTCATAAATTGTAATTTCATTTTTTTTTCTCCAGGTTAACATGCATGTAATAAACAAATTATAATTTTATACTTTAAAATTATATATATAAATAAATAAATAAATAAATAAATAAATATAATATATATATATATAAAATGTAATAGC